ACAGACGTTTCACGACAGACGCGATTCTTAGCCAAATAACGAACTGTTCGCGAGAACAGTTGGCGAACAAGGGAGGCGGGAGACGCAATTGGGCGTTCGGGACGTTTCACGAAATAGAGGAAGCGAGAACAGTATGACGCCAGACGGGAGATGCGTCTATTGCAAGCAGGAAGCGGGAGCGGGAGATCTTTGGCGCCGATTCGCGAAACAGGGAGGCGGGAGTGAGCGGAAGAACGCCGATTCGCGGTCGGGAAAAGAGATCGGGCTCCAACTTAACAACAACCATTATGGCCTTAACAAAACTAGCATGAAGCATATTATTCAATTTATGGGTCGCATAAAGGTTTAATCTTCATTCGATGGCCCAAATGGTTGCAAACTTGTTAAATTAAAGTGTAGTTTACGTCCATCGGAATTATGCCGTTTTAAGCCACTTGTATACTTGTTTTCAATATTAGTAGGAATATTAAAATTCGATATTTTTGATCTCTGAAACCTTAATTTCATCTGCAACAATCATTCTTCCTTATATCCGAACAAAACTATGATACCATTTGTTGTTGGATATACACCAGTTGATGTTGTATATATATATAAATCAAACAGAAGAATGATCAACGAAGCGAAAAATAGAACGAGAAAATCACATCAGAAAAGAACACACAGATTTACGTGGTTCGGTAATTTGCCTACGTCAACGGAGTTGCAGAGGATTTTACTACTTGAGGAAATTTACATGAGTCAATCACCTCGACTTACAAGAGGAATCTCTTACTCTCACTTCGTTGCTCTTTCTCTTCTGCTCTCTATGTTCTTCTCTCTCTACACCGAGATACACCAAATAAAATTCTACACCGAGATATACCAAAGAAGATAAACTTACAAGAAAAATAAACTCAACTTCTCTTCTGTCACAAGTCACCAAGAAGAAGCCTAGGGAGAACAATCTTCTTCTTCTTCCTTCTTCTTACTTCTGCCGCAAGGAACTACCGAAGAACTTAAATTGTGACTTCTAAATTCAAGAGAGTCATCCAAAACTTTTATCACGAATAGGATGTAACTTTTACGATGCAATTCTTCGGGAAATAATGAACTGTTCGCGAAAAAGGGAGGCGGAAGACGCAATCGGGCGTTCGGGACAGTTTGACGCCAGGCGGGAGATGCGTCTATTGCGAGCGGGAAGCGGGAGCGGGAGATCGCTGGCACCGATTCGCGAAACAGGGAGGCTGGAGCAAGCGGAAGAACGCCGATTCGTGATCGGGAAAAGGGATCGGGCTCCAACTTAACAACAACCATTATGGCCTTAACAAAATTAGCATGAAGCATATTATTCAATTTATGGGTCGCATAAAGGTTTAATCTTCATTCGATGGCCCAAATGGTTGCAAACTTGTTAAATTAAAGTGTAGTTTACGTCCATCGGAATTATGCCATTTTAAGCCACTTGTATACTTGTTTTCAATATTAGTAGGAATATTAAAATTCGATATTTTTGTTATTGAAACTATCAATTGAGTCAAAATATATCACCCTGGGTTTAAGAATGATTCATCACAAGTGTTGATCCAAGTTTATGATAAATGTTTAAATACATGTCTTATGACGTTGCATCGCGGATTCGCGGGCAAGGCATATTGATGTTAATCAATTGAAATGTAGCCAAATTGAACTACAGTACCTAGCTCATAACCAAATCAACCAAGTTGACATTATGTATGTTTATGTTGAAGTCGTTTTTGTCATAGTTTTGCTTGATTATTTTATAATACATTTTTAGTTACACATGCACGGTATCAGAGCATTTGCTTTAAAGCATCAAGATACATGGGCTCTTCCTCACCAACATCTCCACATGTATCACATTAGTCCAGAGACTTCGTACACAAGGTAAATGAAGCCAACATTCCAGCCGCACTAAAGTTCTTGATGACGAATATCAAGAATATATAGTGCATTCTCCACTCACTTATGAAAATTACGCTATATGGAATGTACAGATCATGCAAGAAAATTTTTCTAGCTAACATATTTGAAACATTTCTTGATCCAATTATTGAATGAATCTTTCTTCTAATAGAATGCAGAAGACAGCGGAGATGAAAGAAGTACTGCCTTCATTATTACTTAATTCAGTACACATGTCTCGGTTTTATAGCCTCAGGAATGGCTTACTGTTAATTATAATAAGGACAACAACTTAAAAGTGCAAGTTTGTATATAAAATATATATTATGTTTTAATTAACCTTTATAGATGCTAAGAGCAATCGGGAGATAGGGGCGAGGCAGAGCAAAAGCTTTTAGAATCAATCTTTGAGATTCAAACAAGCGTGTCTCTTTACCCCTCTCAAATGATAGATAAACGGAGCAGAGAGTGAGCTTGCTGGTGATAAATTTATGTTGCATGGCCGAGAGAGATTTGATGGGGAGATTGACCTGTTGGTCCTTTGTGGTGATATATTTTAGATCAATGTGTTTGAGCTTGAGATGATCACTATGGGCGTGAAAAACCAAGTTGTGAGCTAGGGCTATTGTGGATGTGTTGTCGCTGTAGAGATTGATAGGTTTGAAAAAATGTCGGCGAACTCCTAAAGTAATCTCCTGAGCCAAATAATTTATGTGGTGGATAGTGCTAAAGCCATGTATTAGGTTCTGTTGATGATTCGACGACGGTAGGTTACTTCTTGGAGCTCCATGACATGAGTGTAGTTCCTAAACGAACAATTAGTCGGTTATAGATTTTCCATCGAGTGGATAACCTACATAGTCAGCGTCAGCATATGCATGTAGGTCGTCTTAGGGTGCGTTATGGTGAGCTATTACAGAGATCCAATTAAATGTTTATAATTGTGATCATCGATCAAAGGTGAAGGATTGTTGTTGATGGTGATTCCACATATTTGCATGCTGTAGTAAATCTTCAGCATAATCACTTTAATGCATGAAATAGCCTTTATCGGTTTTGTTTATTTGTAAACCGAGAAAATTGGAAAGAATGCCGAGCT